CTTGCCTTACTGTGTATATGTATTATGTATATATAAATACACACATGCATGCATATATTTAAGAAAAATACGTTACATTTATATATTAAATATATTTATATATCATATAAATTATATGAATATAAATATATACATGTAAATATTTTCAAGATATATCCTGTATGTGTGTATTCATATATACATAACTATACACAGAACACACACATATATTATGCAAACAAAAACTTTTATTTTGTATGTGATTAATCGCGATTAATCGTTTGACAGCACTAATATAAATACACACACATACAGCATATATTTTGAAAATATTTACATGTATGTATATACTTATATTCAAATAATTTATATCATATATAAATATATTTAATATATAAACGTACTCCTGTAATCATCATTTGTGTGAAAAGTAATAAAGGTTGTTGGCGTTTTACTGCCTCTGGTGTTCATTTCAGCTGGAAACTGCAATGATTTTTGCGGGAATGTAGGCACATACGTCCAATGAGCCTGGGTTAGTTCATGTTTATTGTTGCTTTTAAAGGAATAGCTCAACCAGAAATCTTTGTCACTATGAACTTGTTTTATGAACTGTTGTATTACTATTAACTGTTGTTTTTGCATGGAAAAAGTCATGTCATTTTTGGGTGAACTGCTTTTTTGTTTTTTTTATCTTTTCTGGGTATAGCGATGTTTCAGCTGTGAACAGTGTTAATGTTACACTCGGCTGTGATCAGAGAGGAGGAATTCCTGTAGAGTTTCTCATAAGAGCCTCCATGCAGGTGCATGATAACTGAGCTCTTGCTCTTGATGGTGTTGGAGAGCAGCATGCCTCGCGGGTCATCTCTAATTATAGATGGAGGGGCTTTAACAAATGACACATGCCCTAACTTAGCAGTAATCACTCCTTCATCACTGCTAACTGAATTACTCACAGTATCAGGCCTAAAGAAGGTTTAACTGTTCTGGAATTACTTAAGATGTTCTGCATAGTTTAAGTATAGCAGTAAAGTTCTACCAAGTAGTAAAAATTCCCATGCTCATTTTGGTTAATTTGTCTCAAAACAAGCAAAAAGATATAAGTCTAGATTGGCATTGGCAGTGCTGTGACACGTGGCTCTAATACAGAGAAAGCTGATTCTATGACACAGGCTGAGAATACGGCTCATGCCCCCGGCGGATTCAAACTTTAAGTGATTTCCTGGGGTTTTACTGATTACCTTTTACAGTCAAATGAGATTTGTTTCTGTATGAAGAGAGTTTATGGAGTACAGGCTGAATTGGTCCTGATATGCATCTTACCTCAGAGGGCAGGATCGGCTGATTACATGCAGCACATTTAGGGGCAAGAACTCTGAAGAAGAAAAGACAATAAATAATCACACAGATCATCCACTAAATGGCAATTAAAATCATATCAGCATGACTCTTTATCCAGAGTACAAGACTGTAACATACTTAGTTGCATACAAATTAGTATTTGGGCACTTTAGCTAGCTAGATCTTTTCTCAGAACTAATCATTTTTGCAATTAATTTTAACCAACAGGTGAATTGGTTATGGGGTTTTTACAGCCAATTGAGAATCCTTTTAATGTTGCTGTTCTTAAAATCAACACTTATTTTCATACCGACAACACAACTGCAAGTGTGACATTGCATGTATACAACAGTTCAATAAGCAAGAAGTTAATGTTGAGTAACCTACATTTTTGAAAGAATACAATGTTGTGAAATTTTTGTACAAATCGGTCAAGTGAATAATTCAACGACTCTCTCATAAATAACTTATTTCTTTCTAAACTTATTTTTTTTTAAAGGGGTCCTATTATGCTTTTTCACTTTTTCAACTTTAGTTAGTCTGTAATGTTGCTGTTTGAGCATAAAAAAAGATCTGCAAAGTTACAAAGCTCAAAGTCCAAAAAAACTACAACGCACGACTCGTTTGGACTACAACGCATATTTTCCGGGATTTGTGATATCACAAATATCGACGAATGGGACGAGACCTGGTTGAGCTGCACTAGAGAAGGCAACGAGTGTTATCACTATGTCGGAGACACGCTAGCTTTCCCAAGGCAGACGAATTTAGAGTGGTTACAATCATCCGGGTTTAAATCGCACTCAAATAGATTTGATTTTGACGTAATATTTACACTGAAGCTGGCAGGTGGCTATGGTAAGGCATGACATTTCCCGACCAGGCGCCGAGTGCTGCCAATCACAACACACACTGGCCCAGCTAACCAATCACAGCACACACTGGCCCAG